AAATAAGTTTAAAGCAATGGGGCTATAAAGGCTAGTTCACACAAGCAATTTTGAACTGCAATTTTCTTCTTTTGTTGCATGTGTTTGAGTGAATATCAAAACAAATATATGAGCTAAGCCATGCAAACTAATATTTCCTGTAATTTTGCTAAATCACATACTGTATCCCGAAAGGAGAAAATCACAGTTTAAAATCGCTTGTGCGAATAGGCCTTAACATGCATGCAGGTGTAAATTACCCAAGTTCTTTCAAAATATTTAAAATGATCCTCTCTGTCATGGGATCAAGATAATTGCAGTAAAATGGGTTAATGAAATAATAAAGTTTTCCTCAATGATCAATAACATAATAACAACATTTGCAACAAATATTTACAATCTAGCAGGGTAATACCCAGAGTATATCCCATTTGGAGAAGGATATTTTTTCCGTATTGCTGTAACACAACAGCTTGGATTCCTTGGAATCATTCTCTTGTTCCCACTTCCTTATCTTTTCATGTTGCCAGAGTACACATTGTTTGTAAACAGCATGGTGAAAATTTTCATTGTTTCTAACATTATTTAACACTAAACAGTCTTTCCGGCCCTGTAATGCATGGCCATGTCCAGAACGTTTCCATCAAGTACTAACTGTGGGAACAGAGGGGCTAGGGTCATGCAAGGCTGTATTGTTTGTGTACAGCATTTGTTTTCCAATTGTGTTGGCATTGCAACACAGCATCCACATTCGCAACACTGGGACATTTTCTGGGTTTTCCTCTGGGTCTGGTTTAAGCGGTGCACCTGGCAATTCATTATTTAACCAAATCAGCAAATGTAGCTGGCTGACACTGTATAGGACATTCAGGCTGACGCTCTTAGGGCATTTAAAATTAAATCCATTGCTTCCACAAGATTCTGAAATGTAAAGATATTTATCATTAATTAAATGCAAAGACTCAAGCACAGTGAAACACTGATATTTTTACCACAAATTCCTCTATAGACTTGTATAGACGGGTAAACTCTTTTTACATAATTTGATATTTTATTCGGCAAGGATATGCATAATTATACAGAGTACTGTATGTAATAAAACAAATCGGCATATGTGTTAAAGCTTTCAAAAATGTACTGTCACTCAAATGTACACTGTATATGTCTGTGCATATTCTTGGCAGGCAAAGTATTAAACTATCCATTTTTTGCCTAAACGAAACATGTATAAACTACAATGAGCGAAAATAATATTACATGTACATGTGTGAATCACGTTTATAGCGAACAGTATAACGAACAGTGTCAGTACATAATAGCAATAATACAAACTCACCGTCTGGTCACTGTCACGTTCTTGAACCCTTCGATTGTTCATACATGTATCAAAATCCTATTCGTGGCACGCGCTTGAGCAAAAACTATCCATACTTTTGCAGGCTCTCTATCGAAAACAGAAGCCGCGACATGAACATATCGTCTCCACATATCTTCCAGCGAAAAGCTTAATTTCTCCGAGCGCTTCGATCTGCCATGACAGCAACAATGACTCTGACAATGTGTTTCGACGAACAAATAACCCAAGAAAAGGTTCATGTTTACTTTGGCACTTCGGAAGTTTATTTTACAATGCCGAACATTATATTCAGAATACGTACAATGGGTTCCGAACTCGCACCCGGCACCTTTGCTGTGTCGGCCTCTAACCGCCTCTTCTGGATATTTCGTTAACGAAATACACGAAAGAAAAATGTCGAATTAATCAGCAACATATCTTCCATTGGTGGTCTGTTAAAATATTTAATTGCTTGTCTTTCAGAAGACAATTTTAAAAAAAAATTAACTTCACTCCTGGTTCCTTCATTTATAATTTGTTTAGTGCATAGCCGTATACTTCATATTATACAATTGAAGTGGATCCAAACCAAAACAAAAGATGTAAACAAAGCCCGCACATGCGCAGAATGGACTGTAACCCAGCTTTAAGAAAGATGGGGGACCCCATAATAATAATGCTTTATTTTTTGGGGGACCCCAATACTTTATTTTACTCTGTCTAATGTCAGACAATTTTACGTGTCCAGGGGAGAGTGCTGGTGTGCAATGGGTTAATTAACATGATATTTCAAAAAGGTACTGTATAGATGCAGTGACAGGTAGAGGTTCCTAAAATGTCAACTGTGTTTCTGTATTTCCAAGAGAAATTGTCCAATTCAAAGCATGTTCTCAATAAATTGTATGATACAAAATTATGAAAATAAACAATTTATGTGTAGTTAAATGAAACAAAATCATCTCCATTGATATATGGGACAGACTTATGAAATAAATATATTCTACACAAAATTATGAAAAAAGAAATGTCTTTATTTGCATAGACAATTTGTTTTAATTTTCTCCAACACGAATCAGCAACACATCGAGAAGCAAAACTACAGGTTCTTTTGTGCATGCCCAGTTGCTACAAAAGAACAATACCGACCAAATCTTTTGGTTAACCACACAGCTCAAGTGACAGGTATGCAACCCTAACCCTGAACATACATTCTCACCAATTTTTAGCAATATAGTTACATGCTTTTGCTCAAATACAAAAACTGAAATAATCTTGTTTTGACAGTTCTCCTTCTGATAATTTTAGATAAAACATATGGGATGAACAACGGATGCAGGGGCGTAGGAACCGGGGGGCCAAGGCCCCCCCCCCCAAGTTTCCAGAAGGCACAAAAAGTGCCCTCTCTCTGGTGGCAAAGTGCCCTTTGCCTTCGTGAAAAATGTTGTCCTGGAAATTATCTGCAATTCTTGAGAAAAGTGCCCTTCGTTAATGTCAATGCATGCATGAAACAAATCAATTCAACTTTTGGTTAAAATTAGCGCACTGAAAATGATTCCACAACATGCATAGAATATATATGCGATCACTCAAGTCCTGACAATGACCTTAAATGAAGTACTGCGCCCTTGTTATCTCGTTATTGATCAATTAGCCTTTCTCACGGTCGTTTTTCCGCCATTTTGGGGGTACTGCCCTCTCCCACGTTTGAGAGTCTCCGCACCACGAAAAAGAACTTTTTAGTATTGTAGTTGTTTGTATAATGGTAAATTTACAGTTACAACTTTTAAAAGTCACTTTTCGCATTGTTGGAATTGTCAAGAATCTTTCACAAGGGCAGACAGTACCCCCAAAATGGTGCATTTTGGCCTTTCAGAGAAAGGCTAATTGGTGTAAAAGAAGAGAGCCATCTTGATTTGAATTTTCAAATTTTATGGATTGAAGGATATCATATTTTGCTTACAGTAAGTAAGCATTCATCACTTATTCTAGAATTAAAACTTTATTGAATTGTGACAAATAAGAGTAATGAAACGGTTTAAGTCCATGTATAATCTAAATTCTGTTGGCAAATTCCCATTTTTGTCGCTCTTGTGTGCGAACTGTTAACTATCTATGCATGGACGGCTTACGCTATGTTGTAGACTTGTAACCTAAAATGTTCAATATGTTCTGTGTATTTAACTGGTAAAGATTGTGTATTTTGTCACTTGTCAGGACTTCCTTATAATTATTTAGACAACCAGTACCGATGTTACTATACTTTTATAGATTATATGTATTGGTTGCAGTGGAACAGTTTTTATTTTGAGGGGGCTAATTTCAAAATTTTTTTGCAGCCCTGAAATGTTGGAGACAGAAGCACTTAAAAAAATTTTCCGGACCAAACACATTTTCTTCTTGATAATTTTACAGTAACTGGTACCGGTTTTCGTTCATTTTATTTCCTAGTTTCTCAAAATGTGTCCAATTTCGAACTGAACTTCAAAACTTTGAATCTGTTTGACTCTTCTGTTTTCCAAATGTTTGGGGGCAAATAAAGATTTAGAATAAAGAATAAATTTGTTTAAATTTTTTTTCCGTTGTCTGTTCAATTATAGAAACACAGTCCTGAAGACGTCATAATGTGGTAAGAACATCAGTGATCCCCTTGCCTAGCCTGCTTGTGGGCCACTTTTTTGTTCTTGCCACATTTTGACATCATACTGTGTACCTATAACTGAATAGACAACTGCACAATGTTATCTATTTATTACTAGTTCATTTTGGTAATGTATATTAACATGTGCCCTTTCTCAGGTGGCAAATGCTCTCATGGTTAATGCCCCCCCCCCCAACTAAAAGATGCTTCCTATGCCCCTGAACGGATGTCAACTTCCTGTTTACTCAACTGAATTGTCATGCCATTTTCTGAATTGCTCATGGCAATGTTGCAGAAACAATTTCATTATTTTTTTTCATATACACTAAATACCCATGGCCTAGGTGGTGAGGCTTTGGTCTAAATACTCTATGTATCGCCCCAAAAGTGCATAAAATTAAAAAACAAAGTAACAAACGACAGATGTCATAAGCAAACAACAGAAAGACTAATTAATTTTTGATTAATTAATCAATAATCATTGCAAAACATTATACTATTAAGGCATTTATAAGCCGCCAGAACAGGTCAGATCGCAGTTTCACATATATGTATATATACAGAATTGTCTTGATTCTGTCAAAATGGTACAAATTGTACCATGGTGATTTTTTAACGAGTGAATAAATAGGACACCCTACTGCATGACTATTTTTAGTCAGGTTTTCTGGAAAATTTATATTCCTTCTAAAATGAAATTTTCATTAAAGGGCCGTTTCTACTCAAAAAAAATTATAACGATTGATTTGCTGTGGTTAATCTTACGAAATACATACAACAACACGAAATATTTATCAAACTATTAAATACTCAAAGTGAATGCTACCTATTATGCAAGCAGCGAGACACCAATAACATTTGAACGGTAAACATTGTGGGCATTAGGAAATTATTTTCCCAAGTATGAAACAGGGAAGTAGAAGATTTTCACATTCGTGTACGAAAAGACAATATCTGGATCGTCTAAGAAGGATTATAATATTCAACAGCATTCTGAAAGCCAGTGTTGAAATAAATTTGAAACTTTTCATACAAATACAAGTCATGTCGACAGCACTCCCTTGCTGAATCGCGGCGTTCAAACGAGTTTCTTCAATTTATCAATCGATAAATCCATTGAACGTGACCAAACTACACCACATATCCGAATAACGTCAAATGTGTGGCATCGAACATGAGATTTTCGCTTTCCGGGTTTATATCTTTCTAAGTAAAGCACCTAATAGTTTCGGCAAACATCGACAGCACGTACAAGCGAGCCCAAACACTAACCTTTGAAATTTATCCAACGCTTAAGATTGAATCCATGGCGGGCCAACACAGTCATTCCATCGTGTCATAGAGTTAAACTTGCATATGTTATGAAATTTTAATCTGTAAATCAACGAAGTACTTCCCTTTACTTTATTCAATATGGCTTCTCAGGAAAATGTAAAGTCTTTTCGTATGGGTGTAACCAGCCAATGAGCGCTCGCCGAATTCATGACGTCATAATCAGCCAAACTCATTCGGACTCGCCTGAAACTGAAGCGATCACTTCAGACATTTTCAGTTTACTTTGATTTGAAATGTGCAGTGTTTTTTCTAATTTTCTGGCAATTTTTTTATACCTGACCTCCCCAACGGCTTTCATGCATTCCCTTTGAAGCAATACTGTAAGTCACTTCCCAAATTTGCTTCAGTGAACATGAAACAATAGTTTAAACTGAAAATAGAAAGCAAGGGCAATTTTGCTTAATTAAGATTGTCCGTTGTTATGCTTTATTCGGTTAATTGACAAAACGTAATAATTTTGACGTTAAAAATAAGATCATTCCCATTTTTGGAGCGAAAGTTGTTTTGTATTTTTAATGAGGCGTGTTTTTTGAAGTCTTAAAAGGAACAGGAATATTGGTCGCGTGCCAGGGATTGCGATATCAATGCATGAAATAGTTGCATATATTACAAAATCAATGCTACAATAATAATTTGTGTACGCTACCGGATATTATCTACTACGAAATCGAATCATATAGGGAAGTTGGTTAGATTAGGTTGACTTTAAAATTCCGCGATTGGTGATAGACACTTCCGGAATTTACACGAATATGGTTCGAAGTCGAGGCTGGAATGGGCAAATGCACTGAAATTTTAACTAAATTTTAACAAAATCCATCACCAGAGCTAGAAAGAGCATGTTAAAATCTTGTTTCTTGCACTTCACTTGGTGGAATTAATATATACTAGAATGCTGGTTTTAGGGTTAGTAATCCAAGTGAGTATATATTAAAATTGCCGAGTTTGGTTGGGAAATTTGCAACTACGAAATTTACAAATTTTGTATTGATTTGCATTACGCACGGGAAAATGCACCACTTTCGGCCCAAATGTGGCGCATTTTCCCGTGCGTAATACAAATTATGATCAATACAAAATTTGCAAATTTCGCGGGGCTATATTTTCATCATTTTACAACATTTCCCAACCTTAGTCTAAAGCCGGAATCATCCATATTGTTCTCCGTATGCAGGCCCTTTCCAATCCCACGCTGAACTGATACTAGCTAAACTTTTGTTGTCGGAGGCATTACTCACCTGCACGCATGCGCAGAGACGTTTTTAACCAGTATATATGGACCAGTGAACTTAGACTCCGGTAACATTTTGGCAGCGATAATTTTCTGGTAAGGCCCGAAGCGAAGGAGGAGGAGGATTCAATATAAGTTGAAACATAGTTGGAATACTCATCAAACATTTATTTTGTTAATCTAGAGCTTAACTAGACTCCCCCGTAACGACGCCGTTCGACAGGGGATTTTAACTGCTCAGTGACTCTTGAGACTGCAGACAACACATCGAGAAACTGCATACAACACATCGAGAAACCCCAGACGTACGACAACACATCGAGAAACTGCAGACAAGACATCGAGAAACAAAATACGCGTTGTGCACACAACGCAAAATTCCGATTGGTTGACTCAGTAGTTGATTGGCAGATCTTTTTTTGAAATTTGAGAAAGTTAATTAATCAACCGTCAAGTTATGTCATAATTATGTCATATTAATTAAATCTCGTAGTATTCTTATCACTGTCTGAAGGCCTTCCGGTACTGCCTCCTCCGCATCGCAGGCCCTTCGTTGGGCACAGTGCAGTCAGCAGTGCAGTGCAATTGCAATCTATATAGATCAGTGGCTGTGATATCATTGCCGGGCAATGCATGATGGGATATTTTTCTCGTTTTCGTCATAGATATAGGAGATCTAGATTGCTAACGCATACCTAACGCAGGCGGGGCCTACATGATAAATCCAAGATGGCGGTACAACAGGGCAAAAAGACTATAAATTCTATTACGAAAATCAGGATTTTTGCATTTTTTGCCGTCGCATTGTTTTGAAACTTATTCGGTCAAATTTTATGGTAAAGAGAAACTTACCGCGAGGATTTTGAGCATAAATATGATTGAATTGGATGAAAACTCGCAAAATTATCCAGCGATAAAAGTTCGTGTATAGTACTGATATAGTACTATATATGTAACTTGTACAGTTTTGCTTTAATTTTTGCTCACTATTTGCATAAAAAGCAAATTATAACAGACCATAGATGATAGACCCTCATCCAGTGCTCTCATCAGTTTACTTCTCTAACAAGCAAGGAGGGTACATAACAGTTCATTTTTCATAATTATGAGGACAGAGCAGATGATGATGAGAGATGCAAGTATAAAACACCATTCACAAGGCTAGATGTTAACATAGCACAGTATTTCTGGCAATAAAACGCTCCAACTAACCAACTGACCATTTCACACGAACATTTATCGCTGGATAATTTTGCGAGTTTTCATCCAATTCAATCATATATATGCTCAAACTCTTCGCGGTAAGTTTCTCTTTACCATAAAATTTGACCGAATAAGTTTCGAAACAATGCGACGGCAAAAAATGCCCAAAAATCCTGATTTTCATAAAAGAATCTATAGTCGTTTTGCCCTGTTGTACCGCCATCTTGGATTTATCATGTAGGCCCCGCCTGCGCTAGGTATGCGTTAGCAATCTAGATCTCCTATATCTATGGTTTTCCTCTCCCCCCTTTGAAAGCGACTGGGGACGAGGCAGGTTCCGGTATGTTATTTCGAGCGAATACAATTTAATGTAATTATGCTATGTATTTTAGCTTCAGTGTAAAACGTATTGAATTTTTACTTTAAAACCGAAAACGAGTCGATAAGCGCTATAAATAGTTACTTGTTTACAACGCCAAAATACTATTATATTGGGCGAATTTCGTTTCTTGGCGTGTTGCCTGCAGTCCCTCTTTCCTTTCAAGGAGGGACTGCTCGCAATCTAGTAACTCTTAGCTTTGGATAAACTCTTGTTCGAAGTTCTCTCGTTTAATCGTAGTTCAACCAAATGGTAGGACTTATTTTAAGAAAAGTTTATGACGAAGCATCACGTGGTTGACTGGGGGGCCAAAGGATGTTTGACTGGGGTGTCAAAGGATTTTTATCTACAGTATATTTAACGTTGTAAATTTATAGTTAACGTTGCAAGTTATGATGGACTCTTAATGTGTATATAGGTGGCAGAATAAAAGTGTGGTTGGGTGGGGCCAAACAAACTCGATTCCGGGTGGAAAAGCTACAGGTAGGGGGTGTCCCCCAAATTTTGAATTTTTGAGGCTTGTAAATTCTGGCAAACATTTGTTTCACCCAACCATGCACCCACAAAAACTGTTTCAAAAGATGTAACTGGGAATCATAAATACTCATATATAATAACCTTAGGCAGCAAAGAATATTAGGTTATTCCACTCTAATCTCTTTTGGATAGCTTCGCTCATCCCAATTTTACATCCTGTTCCATTACCCCAGTACGTATGTAATTTGTGAAGAAAATATGAGGGTCTGGTGGTCCTTTCCCAGAAAACATTTAGATTATTGATGCTCAATGACAGCATTTCTGGCATCTGGAGCATCCACAAGGAAGACGAGAAATGACAAGACTGTTTTGAGGTTATATTTTTGTTAATTTGGTGACTGCACATTTCAGTTTTAAGAACTGCACAAATGGGTTTAGAACTGCACATTTTGTGTAGAACTGCACGTTAAAATAAACCCTGCCAAATGGCAATGATAATTCTGGGAATCAAAATAAATGTATGCCTGTCTGTGTGGGGCGGCCATAAGCAATGGGAAAACTTCAGTGTTGTAACGAGTCGAGTCATTGCTATTTTCGGCGACTCGAGTCAACAGCCCCAAATGACTCGACTCGGACTCGACTTGCTGAGTTTGCCGGAAACTGACTCGAGTCAACTCAGCTACAACTTGTAGGGAATAAATTCAACAAGAATATTGTGATTGTATTGCTTTGGAAGAACAATGAGCCCTGTGAACAATGAGAACTTCGAAACTTTATCAGAAAATATATGGGATTTGTAAAGAATACAGTATATTCCTGACGGGCATGCCTATATTACATTTCC